TGTTCTTATTTCATCTTCAAATTTGAAGCTTAATTTTGCCGGATACAAGATTCTTGATTGGCACCCATTATCTTTTTTTTTTTTAATTTTTTATTGTTGGTTGTTCAAAACATTACAAATTTCTTGACATATCATATTCCACACTTTGATTCAAGTGGGTTATGAACTCCCACCTTCACCCCATACACAGATTGCAGAATCACATCAGTTACACATCCATTGATTTACATATTGCCATACTAGTGTCTGTTGTGCTCCGCTGCCTTTCCCATCCTCCACCGGCACCCATTATCTTTCAGAACTTAAAATATGTTGTACCTGGATCTTCTAGCTTCCAGTGTCTGTGTTGAAAAATCTGCTGTTATCCTTATTGGTTTACCCCTATATGTAATCTGATTCCTTTCTCTTGTGGCTTTTAAAACTCTCTTCTTATTCTGTATGTTCAGCATTTTCATTATAATATGTCTTGGTGTGGATCTATTGTGATTTTTTTTGTACATTCAGCATCCTGTAGGCTTCTTGGATATGGATTTCTGTTTCATTCTTCATGTCTGGAAAGTTTTCTAATATTATTTCATTGAACAGATTGCTCATTCCTTTGGTTTGGACCTCTATGCCTTCCTCTATCCCAATAACTCTTAAATTTGGTCTTTTTATTCTATCCCATATTTCTTGGATATTCTGCTCATGGTTTCTTACATTTTCACTGTGCTGTCTAAGTTCTTTTCAAGATGATATACTTTATCTTCATTGTCTGATGTCCTATCTTCTAAATGGTCTACTTTATTGGTGATGCTCGCCTTTGAGTTTTTAATTTGGTTTCTTATTTCCTTCATTTTAAGGATTTCTGTTTGAGTTTTTTTGTATAACATCTATCTCCCTGTTGAGGTGATCTTTTGCTTCTTGGATTTGTTTATGTAGCTCATTGTCAAAGTGATCTTTCACTGCCTATATTTGTTATCTAATGTCTTCTATGAGATCCCAAAACATTTTATCATGTATAACCTGGAATCTTTCTCTGTCATTCTTTCTGATGTGCTGTCAATTCTTCTAATACTGTGTTGTCTTGAATTATTTGTGGTACTTTCTTCTCTTGTCTTTTCATGTTGCTCGAATTTCTTTCTTTTTTTTTTTTTTGTTGTTGTTGTTTTTTTTACAGCTACATGTGACTGGTGTGTTATTGTTTTTACCCTATGGATTTTTAGTGCTCTTGTATGTTTTCAAGATCCCTCCTTTGTGGGGAAGGACAATGTTAACAGATTCTAATATCAACAGTACATCACCTATGAACAAATTATTGTTATTAAGACACTTATAGTAAGTCTCAATGTCCAGAAATGTTGGATTCATAATGGAATATATATGATTATATAAAATATAATCAGTAGTTTCATAAAAGGTGTACAGTTTCTGGTGGTGGACAGTGAACTGGAGGTCAGGCATAAGATGATATGCTAAAGGGGAAAGATGTGAGGGTATGGGGTTAATATAACTTAGGAAATTTGAAGGAGAAATCTAATGAAGAGGGTTAGAAGCAGGGGAATAGATAGGAGGTAACTTAAGGTAGACAAGTACAAGGGAAGACAGTAGAGCTCATAAAAACAGACACACATATGTATTTAGAAAATTACAGGATGTTAAAATAGTAAAATTTGGAGGGTGCAAGAAGAAGAAAGAAGAAAAAGGGAAAGAAAGAAAGAAAGAGAAAAAAGATTTAAAAAGAAAGAAAGGAGAATTTTTTAAAAAGAAAAAATGGGGGGGCTTATGCAATTCCTCTATATTATTCATGTGACTCAGTTCTCATAGTTCTATTTCATGTAAAGTTCTTGGTTTCATGTATGTTGGGGTTGTGAGGGCCAGAGGATAGAAGGGTAGAGGAAGAAGAATACGGATAAGAAGGCCAAAAAAAAAAGATCTTTTAGAATTTCATTTCCTTTCTGCCTCTTTTCTCTTTCAGTAGATTGTCTTAACCAGGTTGAGAGGACTTGAGCCCATGGTATAGTCTCCCTCTCCTGTCTGGAGCTTCCGAGTCCTGGTCTCTCTGGTTTGCTACAGGTTTTTCACTCTTTTGTCACTAACCCCTCCCCTCCTTTGCTTATCAGGTCCTAACTGCAGGATCTCTCATCCTCAGGCTTGCTCCAGGTGGGTGGTGCCCTGGGCACCACAGGGCACCACCCACCTGGAGCAAGCTGTTCAGCTGAGAGCAGTTTTTGTGCTGGGTAGTCACTGTGCAGAGTAATCTCAGCTGGGAAGGGGGGAAGGGGAGGAAGTTGGAAACCAGGTACCTGTTCAAATGGAGGTCTACACAGATAGCCACGCCCACCAAAAAATGGCGAGAGAGGTTTTCCAAGATGGAGTCTATCTGCTTCCAGCTCTGGGGTGTCTGGTGAGGTGGGGGGAGATGGGATGGCTTTGTGCTGTGGCTAGATTGCAGCCATGTGGCCTGTGTGGGAGCAGGTGCAGCTGATTAGGTGATTCTGCTCCACGGCTTGAGAGCCATGTGCGCTAGAACTGCAGGCTTTGGGTCCGAAGTTCAGAGTCTTACTGGAACACAGAGTCTCTGATTTCTGCACAGGTGGTTGCAACTCTGATGGTTTCTGTGAAAATCTGCTGTATATGGGTCCTGTCATATGCTCTGAGATGTTATATTCAGAATAGGTGAGACCTTGTGGAGAGGCCTCCTGACTGTTTTCTTGGTTTAGTTCCACAGAGCAGCCAGAAATAGTACCTCCTCTATTCCGCCATCTTGGATCCCTTCCGCATGTGGTAAAAATTTGCTCCCATTCTGTAGGCTCTCTATTCACCTCACTGATTGTTTCCTTTGCTGAGAAGAAGCTTTTTAGTTTGAATCCATCCTATTTATTGATTCACAATTTTAATTCTTTTGCTATAGGACTCTTATTAAGGAAGTCGGGGCCTAATCCAACATGATGGAGATTTGGGCCTACTTTTTCTTCTGTTAGGTGCAGGGTCTCTGGTTGAATTCCTAGGTCCTTGACCCACTTTGAGTTGAGTTTTGAGCATGGTGAGAGATAGGGATTTAATTTTATTTGGTTGCATATGCATTTCCCATTTTCCCAGCACCATTTGTTGAAGAGGCTATCTTTTCTCCAATATATATTTTTGATGCCTTTGTCTAATATAAGATCACTGTATTTATGTGGGTTTATCTCTGTGTCCTCTATTCTGTACCATTGATCTACAAGTCTATTTTGGTGCCAATAACATGCCATTTTTGTTATTATAGTATAGTTTAAGGTCTGGTATATTGATGCCACCTGCTTCACTCTTACTGCTTAGGATTGCTTTAGCTATTCTGGGTCTCTTATTTTTCCAGATGAATTTCATGACTGTTTTTCTATTTCTATGAGGAATGTCATTGGGATTTTGATTGGAATTGCATTAAATCTGCTTTTGGTACTATGGTCATTTTGACAATATTAATTCTGCCTATCCAAGAACAAGGGAGATCTTTCCATCTTCTAAGGTAGTCTTTAATTTCTCTCTTTAGCATTCTGTACTGTACAGGTCTTTCACTTCTTTTGTTAAGTTGATTCCCCAAGGGTTTTTTGTTTGTTTGTTTTGTTTGTTTGTTTGTTTGTTTTGAGGCTATTGTAAATGGGGTAGTTTTCCCCATTTCTCTTTCAGAGGATTTGTCACTGATATACAGAAATGCCTTTGATTTATGGATGTTGATTTTTATATCCTGCTACCTTACTGAATTCATTCACCAGTTCTAGAAGTTTTCTGGTGGAATTTTTTTGGATCTTTTAGGTATAGAATCATATCATCTGCAAATAGTACTAATTTGAGTTCATCTTTTCCTATCTATATTTCTTTAATTTCTTTCATCTGTCTCATTGCTCTGGCCAGTGTTTCAAGAACTATGTTAAATAGAAGTGGTGAAAGAGGGCATTCCCTCTCTTGTTCCATTTTTAGAGGGAACACTCTCCTGGGCCTGCCTGTGCTCCTAGACTATACTTTTGATGTCTGTTCCACTTTGATTGTTTATTGGGGGAAAATTAATGAACACATTATTCTCTTGAGAAAGGATTCCTTGCTGAATTTCTTCACTACATAAAATTACTATTATATTACAATTTCCCATCTATAACTAGATGCCCCCCAAATGTCTGAACTCATACTTGAAATCACATCATGATCAGTTTCAATAAATGGATTCTTCAAACTCTGTTTGTTATGAAAAAATGAACCCTTAAAAAAACACAATACAAAAAAATGCTCAAATCTCTGAATAAATTTTGTTCCTACTTTTAAATGACCTCTCTGTCTTCTTTAATGGAAATGATGATGTAAAGAACCAAAATTACTTTAGTCAAAATAACCTGGTTTCTATCTCAGACTCACATTATTTAGTGGGCTCTTTCTATCCCTAAATAGGAAATAAATGTAAATTGTCAGTTTTAAATATGTATTGAATGTTTTCATTTATTAACAAATGTTGTCTTAGTTGTAATTATTATCTGTAAATCTGTGAATTGAAAGTTTCAGGGCATAAAATAGTGAAAAATTAATTCTAGTCTTTTTCTATACTGAGTTCAAATTCAGTGAATAGATATGGATCCTATATTTAAAAAAGAAAAGAAAAGAAGGGAGGTGGAGTGTCAACGTCAGTCATACAAACACAGAGATACTTCTATAATATAAAGAATAAAATGTCCATTTAAAAGGAAAACATATGTACATACACACTATAGATATATATAATATATATAAATGTATATATATATTTTTTTTTCATTCATTTCATGGACATATATTTATTCTTGAATTAGCAATTTAGAACAGACCTTTAAATTCCTTCTCCAAAATTTGTCTTCAGACAATTGCTTAGAGAATTTGCATTCTGGCACCACCTATTCATCCACTCCCTACACCGCAAACCTGAAAAATAAAAATATTTCACAGCTTTAACTGTGAATTGTATCTTCCAATTTTATCCTCTGATATCTGTTGTTGTTTATTTATTTCTTCTATAGGATTTGTGCATTTGGTTGGAGGACATGGACCTTGTTCTGGGCAAGTGGAAGTGAATTCTGGAGGAGAGTGGATTCCAGTATCTGATGGAAATTTCACACTACCCACAGCCCAGGTCATCTGTGCAGAGCTGGGGTGTGGCAAAGCTGCATCTGTCCTGGGGAACCTGCCCTTTAGAGAGGACAGTGAACAGGTCTGGGCTGAAGAGTTCCAGTGTAAAGGACATGAGCTTGAACTCTGGTTCTGCCCCAGAGTGCCCTGTCCTGAAGGAAGGTGTCCCCACAGAGGGACTGTGCAAGTTGTCTGCTCAGGTGAGACTCACAACAGGATGTTAATCTCCCTATGCACTCTGGGGGGGGGGGGGGGTAAGAAAAATGTGTGATGTTGCTAAAGCCCTGTCTTCTACCAGGATATACAGATGTTCGGCTCATGAAAAATGGCAGCTCTCAGTGTGAGGGTCAAGTGGAGATGAAGACCTCTGGAGGCTGGAGAACACTCTGTGCCTCCCACTGGAATATGGCCAATGCCAATGTTGTCTGCCGTCAACTGGGCTGTGGAGTCGCCATCTCCACCCCAAAGGGAGCATACTTTGTGGAAGGAGGAGATGAGATCTGGAGAGACCGATTTCACTGCTCAGGGTCTGAGTCCTTCCTGTGGAATTGTCCTGTGACTGCCCTGGGTGTTCCTGCTTGTGCCCATGGAAACACAGCCTCTGTGGTCTGCTCAGGTAAGACAGGTCAGGGCTGGATGGTACTAGAGTGATGTGTCTCTAAGAGCAGACAGCATGGAGAGCTGACTTCAAAAATGAAATATTCTGTGGTAAAATAGGATTCCTCTAAATGATCATTCATCTTTCAGGCCCTGTCAAGTGATATTAAGAGCAATATTTTTAAGTAAGCCTTTTTATTTTTTCAAATTCATGGACAACAATGTATAACAATGAATGACAGCTCTGTCGTGTTCCTCACCTGGGCCATCAGAGAGTATCAGCAGCTCCCAGGAGTAACCTGCACATCTCTCCAGTCACTATGCCCTCCTCCCTTCCAATGAAGATCACTCTAACTTCTGCAAAATATTTTTGCACATCTTGAGCTTTATGTAGAATCATGCAGTATTTTCTTTTTTCATGTCTACTATGACTCAACATAATGTTTAGAATTCACCTATGTCTTTATTTTTAGTCAAGCTTCATTTATTTTTATTGCTGTAGAGTTTTCTGCCAAATAACCACAGGATCATGTGTTGAGCCATTCAAATGATGTGGATGTTGGAGTTGTTTGCACTTTTTGAATACTCAAATAATAATCCTACAAGTTACCATGTCAATAACTTTTAGTGCAAATATGGATATATTTGTATATGGTTTTTAATACTTGTCCATTTATTTTGCCTCTCTTAATATGGTCTTCATTCAAGAGTCAAATTTTTGTTCTTAATGAAGCACAGAATATCAATATTTCCTGTACACTTAGTGTTCTAATGTCTTTTTAAATAGAACTTTACTACCATAGATCATAAAAATATTCTCCAGGTGTCTTATCACGTCTAATTACTTTTCTTTTACATATAATTGCACAATGTTTCTGGGGTTGGTATTGTACACAGGGTGTGTGGTGTGAAGATAGTTTCCCATTATTGTTTGGACATCCAATTGACTCAGAATCATTACTGAAAAGCCCTTTCCCCACTGTGGTGCCACCATTGAAATACACAGGCTGCAGCTATTTCTGACTCTTGCTCTATACTCTGTTTTGTTCCATTCTGTCATTTTCTATGCTTGTAGCCATGCATGCCGCCTTAATTATTATAACTTTACAGCATGTCTGATTAACATTTTTTAAAGAGTACTTTAGAGTAACTGTTCTAATTGTGTTGTTTTTCCTGCCCAATGCATTGGTCATACTCGGTATTATGCATTTCACATAAATTTTATAAATGAATTGATATATTTAATACAATAAAAACATCATGGTCTTTAGACTGAGTTTTGATTTGACCCAAATATCAATATGGAGCTAATTAACTTATAATGTACATCTCTAGTTTCTCTCAGAGATTATACATAACTTTTACTAGGTGTATTCTTGGTGTTTTATGTTTATGATGATTTAGTGTTTCTTTTAGTGAAATATCCTAGGAATTAATTCTACTAATGTTTTAGTCAGCTTTTCAGCTGCTGTGACAAAAAGGCCTGAGAAGAACAATTTTTGGAGAAAAAGTTTATTTTGAAGCTCAGGAATTCAGAGGTCTCAGTCCATAGATAGTCTGCTTCATACCTTGGGACTAAAGGTAAAACAGAATATCATGGTGGAAGAGTGTAGAAGGAGAAAGCAGATCAGGAGATGGCCACAAAGAAGCAGAAATAGGGAGAACTCTGCTCAACAAGGACAATATATAAACCCAAAGACAGGCCCCCAAGCACCTACCTCATCGAGCCACACCCTACCTGCCACAATCACCACCCAGTTAATACTATCAGAGGATTAATGTGCTGATTAGGTTAAGGCTATCATAACCCAATCATTTTACTTTTAAACTTTCATGTCTCACATATGAGCTTTTGGGGAACACCCAGTACCAAACCATAATTACTAGTTTTCAGATTTATTTTTTGTGGCTTGGTTTTTCTTCCTTCTTTCTTTCTTTCTTTCTTTTCTTTCTTTTTTATAATTTGAGAATTCTGAATAAGCTTAGGAAAGTATGAAATTCCCAGGTAACCTGAACCAAGATTCCCCAATGCTATTATTTTTCTATATTATCCTTTCTTCCATCATATTTATCCCTGAATATATAAAATATTTCTGAGTGAATAGTTTAAGAGTAGGTGGATAAGATGATGTGTCCCTTTACTCTTCAAATATTTTCAAGAATTTTTCACACAACCACAGTGTCATTGCCATATTCCGTAAATTAACCTTGTTGGCTTCCACATATGATGGATAACATGTGGTACTTGTCTTTCTGTGTCTGGGTTATTGAACTTAACATGATGTCCTACAATTCCTACCATTTGATGCAAACAGCAGGACTCCATTTTTCTTTATGACTGTATTTATACCACATTTACTTCATGAATTTGTCTTTTAATGGGCACCTGATTCCATATGGTAACTATTGTGAATAGTGCTATAATAAACATGGGAATGTAGGATTGCTGTTTCACAGTAAATGTAATTGTCCTGGTTGCTATTGCTTTTTAATCCATTCCTCACCCCGCCCCCGGCAAAAAAAAAATAGTGACACCAATAAAGAATTCATTTTATTTTGCCCATGATTTCCAGATTCACAAATTTGGCAAGGGCTCTTGGCAGTTGCCACTTGTGGTCTCTCATGAAGTTGCACTTGGATCTCATCTGCAGCTGAGTCATTGAAGACTTGACCAAGCTGGGAATCCAGGATAGTTCATTCACATGGCTGGTAGCTTAAAGTTCACCTGGGGCTGCTGTCAAATGCTCTCTCCCACTGGATAATCCACAGAGTAGATTTCCCATAAAGCAAAATCCTACTAAGTCAAGAGGAAGAGGCCTGACATTCAAAGCTAGGTTCCTAAGTCAAATTGTGCTAGCTTCACCACATTCTGTTGTTTATAGGCAACTTACCCCTGTCAGCCCAGATTGGAGAGCAGGAGAAATGGATAGAATGTGACAGAATGTGGGTATTTTTTTAATGACAGATGTGTTAAATATCTTTGTGTATTTTCTAATTTATACTTTTGAATTATCAGTTGGGGCCTTAATGCCTAAAACTTGTAGAGTACATAGGAATGTTAGTATCTCTCACTGTGTCTCTTAGTTTCCTGTTATATTTCCTACATTTTTGTCTTTCTGTTGTTCACTCAATATTTCCCCACGTTCTTCCACTTACTGTTTCTATTTTGTGCTAATCTACATTATGTTAGACTCATCCTCTCATTTCTCATTTTTACCTACTGATATTTATTGGCTCTTTTTCATTGGTTCTTTTTATTCATGCCTCTCAATTATTTATTGGATTTTTGTGATCATTTATCTACCAAAATTCCCATCATGTCATTTAATTTACAAAATTTAATCATGATTATTTGAATTATCTATAAGGAAACACCAATATCACTCTGTGAAAATCTCTTTTACCTCTTTTGTCCACTTTCTTTCTACATAAACTCTTTTATATGTGTTGGGTATTTTTTCATTGAAAGACATTGTATTTGAAAAAAAGTTCATCCTACAAAACCTTCAGAAAGGATTTTATGTTCTTTAATCCACTACCCATTTAATTATTTTATTTATTACAACTTTATTTAGAGTAGATCCCTTACACAAAAAGAATTGAAATGATGAAAAAATGGGCACACATCCCTATGACAAAAATTATTTCAGTTTACAAAATATAAGTTTTCTGGGTGTTTAAAAGGATTCTCCTCTTTGGTATAACCTAAATTTTACTTGGGTTCTCCCAAGGGAAATCTGGCAAAGGTGCTGACATTTTCAGACTCAACTACTACCTTTGAGTTGTCAAATGCTTCCAGGAGAAAAAAGCTGATTCTAGTTTTTACTTTTCTTTAAACTTGACTCCAGTGTCTTGCTTCCCTTGGAGCTATGCAATACTCTCAAACATCAATGACATAGTCACACTTCCCTAAAGTCATTCCTAGTACTTGGCTTAAAATAGAAGAGTGTTAGAAGTAGAAGCAGAATTCACCATTAGAAAATTGGCTCTGTGCCGCAGTCTGGCTGGGCACAAATCACCAGCCACTGAAGCAGGAACAAACTTTATTTTTGAACTCCACCAAAACACTTCACACACGCTCCCAGGGAATTCTCCCGAATGCCATGAATGCCATGCCGCTTGTCCAGGAACCAACCACCGGAAATATCTCCTCCGGCCTCCTGCACTTCCCCAACCAATGGGAACTCTCCGCGAATCCCCAGGAGAACTCCAAAGTGTAGCGGCAGAGGTGGATAGTAATGCCTTGCCTGTCAACCAATACTATTGGCAAAATGCCAGGGGCCATTCCAACTCGGCTGTGGCTCTCAGCAGCTCTGAAAATAGGAAATTAGTGGTCATGGGCTACAACCTTTAGATGCCATCATAAGATTATTGTCTAGTTTAACTCAGTTTCCTGCTCTCTAACCCTTTCTGTAGGAAACCAGGCCCAGCTACTGCCCCAGTGCAATGACTCCTGGTCTAACACAGCAGGCTCTGCAGCCTCAGAGGGCCACACTGCCAACTGCTCAGGTGAGCAAGACCTCCAGCACCAGAGCCTTCCCATTCCCTGTGTGAATGCCCACTGACATGACCCTGTTTCTCCTCAGACAGCAGACAGCTCCGCCTGGTGGACGGGGGCAGTCCCTGTGCAGGGAGAGTGGAGATCCTGCAGCAGGGCTCCTGGGGATCCATCTGTGATGACAGCTGGGACCTGAATGATGCCCACGTGGTGTGCAGACAGCTGGGCTGTGGAGTGGCCCTGGAGGCCACCATCTCTGCTCACTTTGGAGAGGGATCAGGGCCTATCTGGCTGGACAAGTTGAACTGCACAGGAGAGGAGACCCACGTGTGGCAGTGCCCTTCCCAGGGCTGGGGGCAGCACAACTGCAGTCACAAGAAGGATGCTGGGGTCATCTGCTCAGGTCTGTGGTGCACACTATGCACAGGTGGGGGTGGGCAGGAAAGGGTCTACAGGATGATGTCTGAGCCCTAGGACAAGGGTGAGGACAGAGCAGAGGAAAGGACAGTTCCTGTTCTTCCAGCAGAGAAGATGAGGTGCTTCCATTTACTGCTGCAGCAACTGAGCTTCTGCTCCTTCCTTCTCAGCATTGTCCCCTGACACAGTCATTCTCTACAATGTCCATTTAAAGCAGTCATCACTCTTCTGTGACATGTGGGAGCAACATCCTGACCCACTGAATTAGTTTTCTATTCCTGCTGTAAAAAGTCACCATAGACAAGTGACTCAAAACAGCACAAATTTATCATCTTACAATGTGTAAGTTAGAATTTTGACCTGGATCTCTCTGAGCTAAAAACAAGCTGTCAGCAGCTGCAACAGCTGAAACTCTGGGAAGACTCCTTTTCTTGCCTTTTTCAGCTTCTAGAAGTAGCCTGAATTTCTCAAGTGACCCCATCCTTCTTCAAACATAAAGCATCTCAACCTTCTAACCATTCTATGAACACATCTCCCTCTGATGTGAGCCAGAAAGACTTATTTGTTTTTGAGGATATAGGTGTAAGGATGTCATTAGATTGGGCACACCTATTGGGGGCAGTCGTCCTATCCAGGATGATCCAGTATAATCTCATGATGAAAGCACCTTTTGTTTGTTTTTGTTTTTGTTTTTTATTTTGGTACTGGGATTAAACCCAGGGGGCTCAACCACTGAGCTACAGCCATAGCCCCTTTTTTATTATAATTTTTCATTTTTGAGACAAGTCCATGTTAAGTTACTTAGAGCCTCACTAAGTTTCTGGGGCTGGCTTTGAACATGAGTTGCACCTGCTTCAGCCTCCCAAGTCACTAGGATTACAGGCATGTCCCATCTTGCCTAGAGAAAGGATCCTTTTCTTAATGTTGTCTGAAAAGCCCTTTTGCAATATGAGTTAAAATATTCACAGGCTTGCAGGATCACAGAGTGGACATATTTGAAGCTCCACTTTTCTACCATCCCTCTGTCCACCCTCCTTTTCTATGATCTGTCAGATGGTTAGTCAGGGAGTAAAGATTTTTTCCTGCTCAGCTCCCAGTCAGTGTTCCTACCTGTTCATTTGCTAATATTACATTGTTGTAGAAACAGAAAGAGAGGTACAAGTTAGCAAAACAGATTAAAGGGATAAAAAAAATCTTCCAATCTTCCACCTAGTAGGTACTACCTCAGGATAGTAAGCAATGAGTTCTCACTACTTAGGAATAAAGAAAAAACAGCAGTAAGAGTTGAATGCTCTTTAGAGCAGATGATGCTAAGTGAAGCTAGCCAATCCCTAAAAAACAAATGCCAAATGTCTTCTTTGATATAAGGAGAGCAACTAAGAACAGAGCAGGGAGGAAGAACAGGAGAAAAAGATTAACATTAAACAGGGACGAGAGGTGGGAGGGAAAGGGAGAGAGAAGGGAAATTGCATGGAAATGGAAGGAGACCCTCATTGTTATACAAAATTACATATAAGAGGATGTGAGGAGAAAGGGAAGAAAACAAGGGAGAGAAATGAATTACAGTAGATGGGGTAGAGAGAGAAGATGGGAGGGGAGGGAGGGGGGATAGTAGAGGATAGGAAAGATAGCAGAATACAACAGTCACTAGTATGGCAATATGTAAAAACATGGATGTGTAACCGATGTGATTCTGCAATCTGTATATGGGGTAAAAATGGGAGTTCATAACCCACTTGAATCAAATGTATGAAATATGATATGTAAAGAGCTTTGTAATGTTTTGAACAACCAATTAAAAAAAAAGAGTTGAATGCTCACTGACCCCTGTTTTCCTCCTCTTGCTTTCAGAGTTCCTGGCCCTCAGGCTGGTGAGCGAGGACCAGGAGTGTGCTGGGTGGCTGGAGGTTTTCTACAACAACACCTGGGGCAGTGTCTGCCACAGCCCCATGGAAGCTGTGACCTTGTCCGTGATCTGCAGACAGCTTGGCTGTGGGGACAGTGGGACTCTGAACTTCTTGGTTCCTCTCAGGAAAGGTTCTAGACCTTCCTGGGTGGATGGAATCCGCTGTCGGGAAACTGATATCTCTCTCTGGCAGTGTCCTTCTGACCCCTGGAAACACCAATCTTGCTCTGCAAAGGAGGAAGCTCATATCACATGTACAGGTGACCTACTGTCTATTTCTATGTATCTGTCCTCTGCTTGTAGGTTGTTGTCAGGAAAGGTTCATATTTTCAAATATAATGGATGAGTTGAAACAAGTCTACAAAATGAATTCTGGATAGAGGTTTCTTGATCCACCTCTTCCAGTCCTGTTTCAAAGACAGATATAAGGAAACATGTGATAGAAATTTATGTGAAAACTACAGACAGACTGAACTTAATATATGGAAGTATAAACTTATACTCTGATAAACTTTCTAAGCAGTTAGCTAAAATGGTCTTTATATTAATTAACCTGTTTTTCCTTAGTAACAGGGTGAATGATTGGACCTCAGTTATATACATTGCTTACTATGTGCTATCACTTTTTCCCCCACCAAACTGTATCACAGGTAATGTGCCTTAATTGTCACAATCAACTGATGATAGGTATTATAGTAATCTCTTATTTCATAAGAGGCAACTGAGCTTAGGAGGAAACATTTCATCTCCCTTACACTTTCAAGTGAGTGGGAGAGCAATTTGGGGAATCAAATACTATTGGGCTGTTTACTCTGAAATCCATCTTCATCAGACAGACCACCTCTCGGGTCACTTTATTGATGAAAAGTAATCAAGTGACTTGTAGGTAGAAACTTAATTCCAGACAGGAGGACAGATGCAGGAAGAAAACCCTGCCCCATCCTCATGGAGTTTGCACTTCAGCCTGATGACATGCACCATGCATAAATTTGAGTGTCATGAAGAAATGGAAGGTGCTGTGGAAATGCGTGCTTTGGGGAAGAGAAATCATTTTAAGTTGAGACCTAAAGGAGGAATTGAGGTCCAATGCAGGAAGAAAGTAGAGTATTTATCAGTGTAAATACTGAGGTGGGAGGACTATGGTGACCTTGAGGTATGGATAAAATCCCATGATAAGCACAGCACAATGCATGATAACCTGGATGGGTATGATGAGCTCAAGTCCTCTCCAAGGCATGGCCCCAATAACAATCTTGTTGAAAATCTGTTTGTTAATCTTCTCCTCTGCCACATCATGGGGAATGGCTGGGAGATAAGGGGCCTGGTCTCCCCTTATTTTGTTCTTGAATTCATCTCCTCACAGTCCCAGTGGTCTTGGCTGATACTACCTCCTCTGAGCCTTTATCCATATGCTACCACAAACATATGCCCACTTCATCCCTCTCCCAGAAAACATTCCATGGGGCCTGTTGGAAATTGGAGACTATCATATTCCAATTTCTTAAGACCTGTAATGTCCCCTTCAGTTTCATGTTCTCACAAAAACCTGGCTGTCCTCTGAAAACAATGATGTCCTTATCATTAGGAGGCTCTGTGCTTCCCTTTCATCAGGATATTTTTTGAGCCAAATCTAGAATAAAAATATTCTTGCTCTCACTTGTCATTTTCAACATTTTTTTCTTTTTCTCTGTGTTCAATTACTTGAAATTTGCCCCACGAGATGGCACCAGCTACCACTTCTGTTGGTGTCACCCTCCAGCCTGGTCACTCCCCCTTGTCCCAGTAGGCTGCAGTACTAGCCTCACCAGGCTCCTCTGTCTCCTGTTCCTGGTGCTGCCAGCATCCTTGAACACAACTGAGATAACATCCTGGGCCTCTCCAGTCCTGATTTTCTCCCTTTGAAGCACTCTGCTCCCTCCCACCCCATGTCCATGTATAGCCACACTATTGACCATCACTACCTGTCCAGCTTGATATCTTGATTGCATTATTCCTTCTCTGTTTCCTCTTCTCCTTATAGCACATATGCTTGATGCTCCTTTTCCAGATATTTCATCCTCATGCAGATTTCTAATGTTCTCCCTTATCAGTTTCCCAGTTTTCCACTCTCTTCATGATTGCACATGTTCTTCTTACCCTGATTAGACAACATAATGCCCCATTAAAATCCTCCCCCTTCAAGTACACTCAACTCCCTTGTCTCTTCATTACCTGTGTAATGACAAGAATGGTTGTGTCATCTACTTAACTCTTCCCTGCTTGCACTAGACTAGGCAAAGACTCCTGAATCATGGACAAGTGCTGTGTCTTGTTATAATGTGAAATTATCCTGCTAGTCTCTTTAAATTTGTGATCCAACCTCTGATGGACCATCCACAATGGCCCCGTATTCTAGTGTGCTTCTCTCACATGTTCTCTTGCCTTTTCTGTAACTGTCTACCTTGCCTTTTCTTAGCTGTCTACCTTAATTTTTCCTCAAATGCTCACTCTGCCTTATTGGTTGTTCTTATTCTGCTTTATAGGTTTGCTATTTCTGTTCCATTAATAAATTTTAGACACATTCTTGGTTGAACCACAGACTCTCTACTCTTACTTACCTATCCAGCTTACCCAGATGTGTATTCTAAAGATGTTGGATGGAATATTCTGTAGATATCTGTTAAGTCCACTTGATCTATAATATTAGTGAATTTATGATATATGCCTGTTGATATTTTCTCTGCATTCCAAATTGATTAGTGAGATGGGATATTAAGGTACCACTAGTATTGTATGGAAATGTGTTGTCCCATTATATCCTACGACTACTTTGTTAATAAAATTATGGGTTCTTTTCTTTGGTACATATTTATTTGTTTTTTTTTTTTCTTTTTTTTATTGGTTGTTCAAAACATTACAAAGCTCTTGACATATCATATTTCATACATTTGATTCAAGTGGGTTATGAACTCCCATTTTTACCCCGTATACACATTGCAAAATCACATCCGTTACACATCCACGTTTTTACATATTGCCATACTAGTGACTATTGTATTCTGCTACCTTTCCTATCCTCTACTATCCCCCCTCCTCTCCCCTCCCATGTTCTCTCCCTACCCCATCTGCTGTAATCCAATTCTCTCCCTTATTGTTCCCTTCCCCCTCACATCCTCTTATATGTAATTTTGTATAACAAGGAGGGTCTCCTTCCATTTCCATGCAGTTTCCCTTCTCTCTCCCTTTCCCTCCCACCTCTCGTCCCTGTTTAATGTTAATCTTTTCCTCATGCTCTTCCTCCCTGCTCTGTTCTTAGTTGCTCTCCTTATATCAAAGAAGACATTTGGCATTTGTCTTTTAGGGATTGGCTAGCTTCACTTAGCATAATCTGCTCTAATGCCATCCATTTCCCTGCAAATGCCATGATTTTGTCATTTTTTAGTGCTGCATAATACTCCATTGTGTATAAATGCCACATTTTTTTTATCCATTCATCCATTGAAGGGCATCTAGGTTGGTTCCACAGTCTAGCTATTGTGAATTGTGCTGCTATGAACATCGATGTAGCAGTGTCCCTGTAGCATGCTCTTTTTAGGTCTTTAGGGAATAGACCGAGAAGGGGAATAGCTGGGTCAAATGGTGGCTCCATTCCCAGCTTTCCAAGAAATCTCCATACTGCTTTCCAGATTGGCTGCACCAATTTGCAGTCCCACCAGCAATGTACAAGTGTACCCTTTTCCCCACATCCTCGCCAGCACTTGTTGTTGTTTGACTTCCTAATGGCTGCCAATCTAACTGGAGTGAGATGGTATCTTAGGGTGGTTTTGATTTGCATTTCTCTGACTGCTAGAGATGGTGAGCATTTTTTCATGTACTTGTTGATTGATTGTATGTCCTCCTCTGAGAAGTGTCTGTTCAGGTCCTTGGCCCATTTGTTGATTGGGTTGTTTGTTCTCTTATTGTCTAATTTTTTGAGTTCTTTGTATACTCTGGATATTAGGGCTCTATCTGAAGTGTGAGGAGTAAAGATTTGTTCCCAGGATGTAGGCTCTCTATTTACCTCTCTTATTGTATCTTTTGCTGAGAGAAAACTTTTTAGTTTGAGTAAGTCCCATTTGTTGATTCTAGTTATTAACTTTTGTGCTATGGGTGTCCTATTGAGGAATTTGGAGCCCGACCCCACAGTATGTAGATCGTAGCCAACTTTTTCTTCTATCAGACGGCGTGTCTCTGATTTGATATCAAGCTCCTTGATCCATTTTGAATTAACTTTTGTGCATGGCGAGAGAAAGGGATTCAGTTTCATTTTGTTGCATATGGATTTCCAGTTTTCCCAGCACCATTTGTTGAAGATGCTATCCTTCCTCCATTGCATGCTTTTAGACCCTTTATCAAATATAAGATAGTTGTAGTTTTGTGGATTGGTTTCTGTGTCCTCTATTCTGTACCATTGGTCCACCCGCCTGTTTTGGTACCAGTACCATGCTGTTTTTGTTACTATTGCTCTGTAATATAGTTTGAAGTCTGGTATCGCTATACCGCCTGATTCACACTTCCTGCTTAGCATTGTTTTTGCTATTCTGGGTCTTTTATTTTTCCATATGAATTTCATGATTGCTTTCTCTATTTCTACAAGAAATGCCGTTGGGATTTTGATTGGCATTGCATTAAACCTATAGAGAACTTTTGGTAATATCGCCATTTTGATGATGTTAGTTCTGCCTATCCATGAACAGGGTATATTTTTCCATCTTCTAAGATCTTCTTCTATTTCTCTCTTTAGGGTTCTGTAGTTTTCATTGTATAAGTCTTTCACCTCTTTTGTTAGGTTGATTCCCAAGTATTTTATTTTTTTTGAAGATATTGTGAATGGAGTGGTTGTCCTCATTTCCATTTCAGAGGATTTGTCGCTGATATACAGGAATGCCTTTGATTTATGCGTGTTGATTTTATATCCTGCCACTTTGCTGAATTCATTTATTAGCTCTAATAGTTTCTTTGTAGACCCTTTTGGGTCTGCTAGGTATAGAATCATGTCATCTGCAAATAGTGATAATTTAAGTTCTTCTTTTCCTATTTTGATGCCTTTAATTTCTTTCGTCTGTCTAATTGCTCTGGCCAGTGTTTCGAGAACTATGTTGAACAGAAGTGGTGAGAGAGGGCATCCCTGTCTTGTTCCAGATTTTAGAGGGAATGCCTTCAATTTTTCTCCATTCAGAATGATGCTAGCCTGAGGCTTAGCATAGATTGCTTTTACAATATTGAGGTATGTTCCTGTTAT